CCCCAAAATACCTCAAATCCACCCCAAAAACTGCCCCAAACCCCTGATCAATCCCACCTGCAGTCGGGTGAAGGCCCCGTCGGGTTCGTTCCCAAAAACGCCCCCAAAAGCCGTGAAATCCTCCAGGCTGAGCTGGGGGAGGGGCAGCGTCAGTGGGGGAGGGGATTTGGGGTCTCGGGGTGGATTTGGGGTGAATTTGGGGGAGAATTTGGGGTCTCACCTGGTCCTGCAGGAACAGCAGCACCATGCGAGGGGGTTTGGGGTGGGATTTGGGGTGGGATTGGATTTGGGGTGGATTTGGAGTGGATTTTAGATGGGATTTGGAGGGTCTCAGGGTTAATTTGGGGTGGGATTTGGGATGGATTTGGGGTCTCACCAGGTCCTGCAGGAACAGCAGCACCATGCAGAGGGGGTTGGGATGGATTTGGGGTGGTTTGGGATGGATTTGGTGTGGTTTCCGATGGATTTGGGGTGGTTTGGGATGGATTTGGGGTGGTTTGGGATGGATTTGGGGTCTCAGAGTGGTTTGGGATGGATTTGGGGTGGTTTGGGATAGACTTAGGATGGATTTGGGATCTGACCTGGTCCTGCAGGAACAGCAACACGGTGCGTGGGGGTTTGAATGGATTTGAGGTGGTTTGGGATGGATTTAGGATGGATTTGGGGAGGTTTGGGGTGGATTTGGGGTCTCAGGGTGGATTTAGGATGGATTTGGGGTGGATTTGGGGTCTGACCTGGTCCTGCAGGAACAGCAGCACGGTGCGCGGGGGTTTGGGATAGATTTAGGATGGATTTGGGATGGTTTGGGGTGGATTTGGGGTCTCAAGGTGGTTTGGTATAGATTTAGGATGGATTTGGGGTGGATTTGGGGTCTCAAGGTGGTTTGGTATAGATTTAGGATGGATTTGGGGTGGTTTGGGGTGATTTGGGGTGGATTGGGATGGATTTGGGGTCTCAGGGTGGTTTGGGATGGATTTAGGATGGATTTGGGATCTGACCTGGTCCTGCAGGAACAGCAGCACGGTGCAGAGGGGGTTTGGGATGGATTTAGGATGGATTTGGGGTGGATTTGGGGTCTGACCTGGTCCTGCAGGAACAGCAGCACCATGCAGCGGGGGTTGGGATGGATTTAGGATGGATTTGGGATGGATTTAGGGTCTGACCTGGTCCTGCAGGAACAGCAGCACGGTGCAGAGGGGATTGGGATGGGTTTAGGATGGATTTGGGGTGGTTTAGGATGGATTTGGGGTCTGACCTGGTCCTGCAGGAACAGCAGCATGGTGCGCGGGGGTTTGGGGTGGATTTAGGATGGATTTGGGGTGGTTTGGGATAGATTTGGGGTGGATTTGGGGTCTGACCTGGTCCTGCAGGAACAGCAGCACGGTGCGCGGGGGTTTGGGATGAATTTAGGATGGATTTGGGGTGGTTTGGGATGGATTTGGGGTGGTTTGGGATGGATTTAGGGTCT